GGTATCCAGTAGAGATTTAGAAATAATCCATTATGGTTGGGCCTTAGCACCAGTATTTGTTTTTATTTATGCACTTAAATTTTTTTAAAATGAAATTGACCATCTAACCACTTTCAAGTCCATAGCTCAGCAGGGCAGGATGGCATGCACCTGTAACCCCAGCACTCTGGAAGGTGGAGGCAGGTGGCTCTCTGTGAGTGTGAGGCCAGCCTAGTCTACAAAGTGAGTGCAGGACAGCCAAGGCTTCACAGAGAAACCCTGACTCAAATACCAAAACAAAAAATAAGGAAAAAGAAGTGCATAACTCAGTGGCTTTCTGCATTCACAGAGGCAGTGAAATTGCCACCAGCTTCCATCTGCAGTGCTCTTTCTACCTTCAGTCAACACCAAGCCCTTCTCCCCACTGCAGCCTCAGGCAGCCAGCCCTCATTTCCATCTAGTGAGCTCCAGGGCTCCACATTGCTCCAGAGAGGGGAGTCATAGGAGGACTTGTAGTAGGACATCATTGTTTTACAAAGTCTATAAGGAGCTCTCTGTGCAGTCAGGACCAAGGGGTGTGGCCAAGTGGAGGCTGCGAATGAATTCCTTTCTGGAAAGAGAACGTGGATGCAGCTGAAAGCAGCCACGAAAAACTACAGAGACAGAGGAAAACACTGCCAAAGTTCAAATATCTGCTCCAGATTCCAGTTAGGAAAAGATAGCCCCATGGAATCCCCTGATTCTAGTCTCCTCTGTGCTTTCTTTTCTTTTTCTTTCTTTCTTTTTATTTTTGAGGTGTTTTGTTTGTATCCACTGTTTTGCGCATTTAGTACTGGACTAATTCCATAGGACAGTTTTTCCTCTCAGATGACTAAAGATAGCTAGAAGGGAAAGACTGTGATTTTTGAGGAGGAACTTTGGCAATAGGGGCCATTAAAACATACACATTTTAAAATGCTACAAGCACGTAGTGACTGTAGATACTGTGGGGACGCAGAGTGATTTTAGAAAGTATATGTTCAGTGTGTGCCATAGATATCAGTGTATCCATCACTTCCCGGATGTGAGCACTGGGGCTGGGGATATGGCTCTGCTGGTAAACTGCCTGTGGATCAAGCATGGAAATCTAAATTGGGACACCTGGCAGCTCTTAAAATCCACATGCCTGTTGTGGTGTGGGTCTATAATCCCAAAGGTGAGCAAGTAGAGGCAGGAGGAATTCTGGAGCTCACTGTGCATCCAGCAGAGCTGGATGGAGAGTTTCAGGTTCAGTGAGAGACCCGACTCAAACAAAATGAAACCGAAGACACAAAACACCTGACGTCAGCCTCTAGTCTCCGCTTGCATGTGCGCAGACTTGTACGTGAATCCACAAGCACACACTTGCAAACTTGTAACACACATCTATGCTTATTTCTGTTGGTAATATCCAAGCTCCTTCTACTAGCTGTTCTGAAATACTGACTCAGTTGTTGTCTACCACAGTTTTTCTACTGTGCGCACACCTGTCCCCACCAGCCACTCCCCCTCTGCAACCCTTCCTAGCCTCAGGGTTACAACCACCCCTCTCTCCTCTGAAGGTGAGTTTTCATGAAAGGGGGACTTTCCTTCCTATACATGGAGGGGCTACAAACCATTCAGGGAGTCATGTTGTCCCGCCTTTCTTTACAGAAAGGAGATCATAACAGCCGATTCACAGAAGGGGGCAAAGCTCCCAAGCAAAGTATGTACGCATGCCTATAGCACCCCCAAATCCCATAGAAGTGGCAGCTGAGGCTGCTATGGAAATGATTGAAAGTAACTGTTGTCCTTGTTAAGTACATTCAATTTGACAACTACAGGTAGAAAGCGCTCAATGGTTCCAACTGGGTTCAACGGAGACACACAACACATTTAAAGATTGGTGGAAATTAAGTCTTGAAATGCCATTTTATATTCTACATACAAATAACCCTTAGACTGCTTCCATCGGTTTCCCAGGATATAGGCTAGAAGGACGATCACGCCATTCTGAACTAAAACAGCATTCTAGGTGATAAGTACCATGAAGATACACTAACATACTTCACCTCCTCAGCTTCCTCCCTTTGTGCCTGATGCCAGCCAGCACCTGCCCTTCACAGAGCAGGGAGCAAAGGCAGCCGTGGGCACACACCCAGCACTGATTTAAGTGCTGTGCGTGCCTCTTATTCAAAAGAAGACGAAGTCAAGGTGGCATTGATGTCTTCTATTTCTTTTTCCATTTAATATTAAAAATAATAGAGATAGCTATTAGGGAAGACGAAAGGCAGAGAGGTGGGAAGGGGGCGAAGGGGGGGCGGGAATTTGTTAGCTTTGTATTGCTAATGTTCTTCGTTTTGTAGCAGGCTGGGTCGGTCAGCCAGACTACTTGGAATGGGGGAAGGCAGCCGCTTAAGTGGAGAGCTTTACTGGAGACAAAAGATGCACCTGCAAAGCCCAGGCTTAATCGTCTCTAGAGGCCAGGGCCGAGGCTGGGAGATAAATGCCCGGCACCACCTGAATGGGGCAGCCGGTGCATTCGCCTGGATGCTACAGTCAATTCATTTCAGAAGAGGGTTGCTACCCAGTAGGAGCTGGCGGCTCCTGCTAGTAGTCTGAATGAGGCAGCCGCGAGACAAATGCACTCTCAACACAAAGGGGCCAGCAGAGGAGGGGCTCAGCCTGGCAGGTAGAGCAGAGCGCTGGGGACTAAGCTGAACTCCTCAGCTGGAAGGAGTTGGTTAGTGACACATTTCAATGTCGCCAAGCCAGTTTCTCAGCCTAAACCAGTATTTTGAAGTAGTACGACCAAATAGCCAATCGGGTCTATCTACCCCAAAGTCTCATTGGTTTAGATGGTACCAGCATGCTGTGCACTATGTCCTGATTCTCTAGTCCAAAACTTGCTTTATGTTCCCCCTCCTTCCTTCATGTTCTTCCCTCCATCCTTCTTTCTTTCTCTCCTTTCTCTCCCCACCACCCTGCCTTTTTCTTTTTCCTTGTTCTCCTCTTTCTCTTTCTCTTCAGTGGCTCCCATCTTTGTTTCTTTTCCAAACCTGGAAGCTACGACTCCATCATCAACCATCTCCTCCGAAGCTGAGAACTCTAGAGTCAACACTTGGCCTTCCCTGGAAGAACCCTGCACCTGGCATGGGTCTGAGGACAAGAATGGAACAAGCCAGGTGTCTAGACTGTTAGCATACAGGTGATTCAGCTGGCCTGCCTTCTGAGTCCTAGCAGTTGCCAGATGCACAGGTGTGTTGCGGATATAAGGACCCCCGTCACCCCCAGCTCTCTCTGTTCATACTCTTTCTCTCTTTTGTCCTAGGCACCCCCTTTCTCTCCATCTTTGCCCCCCTGCCCTCATGGCTCATTCACTGCCTCTACCTCTTCCCCAGCCCCTCACTCTTCTCTTCCTCCAATAAATTTCCTTATAACAGATGGTAACCACCATGCCGCATCATCGTTACAGAGCATAACACGGAACTCAGAGTATTTGTCATGGGAATAAATAGTCTGTGCTACAGATATGTGTAATATGATGTTTCAGGCACTCATCAGATCATACAATCTGTTTTGTGAGAACTGAAGCTCTGCCCACTCATCAGATCATACAATCTGATGAGTGGGCAGAGCTTCAGTTCTCACAAAACAAATCATACATCCAATTTGGGGAATGAGTAGCCAAAAGAAGGCTAGGCTGGGTGATAGAAAAGGGGGGAAGGAAGGAAAAACAAAACAAAACAAAACAAAACAAAAACACATAAAAGCAGAATCATTATATTGTCTAATTCTTCCATTAAAGGCCCTGGTTGTTATCAAGTCATAGACTGTTAGCAGGAAGCACAGAGTCCTGTATGACTGAAGGTGTAACATTTGTGGATGGACGTTTGGTCTCTGTTGCCTTCATACTCCATGAGAATTTGGGATCAAATGTTCTCTTCCAAGAGAAGAGCCTGCAACAACGCTGAACCCATCTGTTTCTGGCCTATTTTGTAACAGGTGTATTTAAAGAAAAACTGGCATGGGAGAGTGTCCAGGAAGAGAGATGGCCGCCATGTCCCCATCATCTCCCCAGAGCCACTCACAACTTTCGTTTGTGAACTCCCTCTTTTGCCGTGGGAAGATTTGTTTTCACTCTTTCTTTCTTTTTTTTTTTTAATAGTTATTTGCTTTAATTTTTCTCTGCTAATGAACCAGATACTGTGAATTATTCATGCATTCAAATGTTAAAATCTGACAGTATCTGACAGTATAATATTAATATTATAAATAAATGTGTGTGCTCCTCCCTTGTGTGTGTGTGTGTGTCTGTGTGTGTGTGTGTGTGTGTGGTGCTGAATCAAACCCAGGCCTCGCACATGTTGGGCAAGCACTCTACCACCAAGCTTGATATTCAGCCCCCTTCAATGAGGGCAATAAGAAATGCTCCTACGATGTTCACTAAAACCATTTTTTGAGACCGTTTTCTTTCTCGCTGACCCAAACCAAATGAAATCAAATGAATGGTTTGATTAAATAAACCTAAACTAGACCAGACCAACGTATTCTAGACCAAATCCTCAAACCACCACTTTAAACATGAATTGACAATCCTAATTTTTTTTTCAGAAGAAACCCCACCCCCCCATACACTGAAACAAACTTTATAAGGTTGACACACATTCCATCATCGTCACCAGGAGAGCCCCCAAGTGTCAGCTTGGAAAGTTAGCATAATCCATTGTTCTTTAAGAGCAATACTCATTCTTTGAGTGGATGGGGGCATGGCAATGACTTTAAATTATATCCTTGTGATTTTTTTTTTTTTTTTAGATATTTCAAAGCCTCCCTTGTAGTTTTGAAACTAGTGGCAGAGAGAGGAAAAACATGTTTTTAGAATTTTTTTTTTTTTTTTCATCTCGTGTACTAGAAAAATAGCTTCCTGAGCAGACGTGACATCTCCCGCCTGTTTGAACAGTATGGAACTGCACAGTGCCTGGCAGAGGGGGGAATCTGGCCCTACAAAGGAACTGACTTACCTTCCTTGACATTCAGTCGTGAGGACTGGTCTGTGTGGGAGGTTGTGTTATAGGCCAGCAGTGAACCTGAAATGAAAGTAAAACCATATAAATGTCATGCTTCAGTGTTTCAGTTTGGATCTAGAATGTTCCCCAAAGGCCTGTGTGCTGGAGCTAGGGTTCCCAGTATGTTGGTTTTAAGAAGTAGAGGAAACCTTGGAGATGGCGCCCAAGTCAGAAGCTGCCAATTGCTTCTTAGGCGGATTGTGGAACCCATCTCTGTGTTGGTGATATTTAACAGAATGTTCCCCGCAGTGTTTAGGAGAGGAGAACTCAACACGCTGATGTGCGGACTTCTAGGAAGAAGCTTTGATGTAAGCATCTCTACTCCAAACTCCAGTGAAGCTATTTGGAATGGACAATTTTTTCTTTTTGGTTATTGTTGTCATTGCATATAAAACACATGTTCCTTTCTCTCCTAAAGCTAGATTTGTCCCTTTGTTTAAAGTGAACCCAAGAGTTTATTTTGTAAAATGGAGGCATTTTTAGGATTCTTCTCAGGATTCTCCCAGGGATGTTTTAAAAAGCCTTCAAAACTAGGGCTGGGATCTGCTTTTACAAAGGACCCCATGAGCTTAACACATGTGTTTGAGGCTACAAAGCCTTTCTAAACACAACTCTTTTCCCTGGGGCATGTGACCAAGGGGACTGACTGGAGGCCAGGCTGGGAATGGCCTGTCAGTCATGCCTTTTCTTAGCCTTCAGGCAAGGAGGGGCTCAGAAGTGGAGTGGTGCCTCCCCCAGCTATGGGTGTTCTGGTTGAGTATACAGAGAAAATATGGGTCCTATCAGGACAGCCAAGGACACCTCCTGGAACATAAGACTTCTGGCTTGTTCCCTTTGTAGCTCTGAAACAGTTCCTCGATGAAAACCCTGAGGAGATGGGTGCCATTTAGGGAGTGCTATATGCAAAGTGCAGCTATGGGAATAGCATTTTCTAAGGGACACAGCCACCCAAAGGCAACATTCTATTTTCAAGAATATCAATGACAAAGTGACAAATTCATTTTAGTTTAAGCTATCACACTTCAGTGTAACAAGTTCATTCTAGTGTCGCTCCCCGGGGTCATGTGTCCCTCATCTGAACCGGGCAAAGAGTAACACCTCCTGAATGTGAGGCATCAAGAAAACCAAGCACGGAAGGTGCGCAGCACAGACCCTAGCTTGTTTTAAGTGTTCAGGAGAGGCTAGCAGCCATCATGACTGCTTTTAGTTACATAGAATGGAAACCCTTTACACAAGAGCTTGCGGGCACTGGCCTTACTGTCTGGAATTCCAGCTAGGAATGGGTTCTGCCCCAATGAGAAATAATCCTCCGTGACTGGAGGGAGCTTCAGAAATGGAATCAAACGTTCCAAGAGAATACCCTAAACCTCTCAGGGGTTAGACTAAGAATGCCTGTGCCTCAGTCCCAGGCATTTTCTCCCTCAGGCAGAATTTCGCTGCTAGAGCAAATAAAGAAAAATGATGGTCTCCAAGCAGCAAACCTCCAGTCATTAGTGCAAAGTTAGGTCAGAGACGGAGCTCAGATAAACCACATTTATTAAATTTCTCCCATGGTCCAAGCTCCTCTCCGGGCACATGTGAAGCCACAGGAAACTCCCAGAATGCCAAGAGAAAGGGTTGCTTGACCTCCCCAAAGCCTGCATGAAATACATATTTCATGGTAACCTAGGGGAGAGATTTTGCCCCAAGACTGTCTGGGTTCAAGTTTCACAGGGGAGAGGAAACCTCCATGGGGGAGGGGCTGGCTTCTCCCCAGGAGTACAAATTTTCTTTTCACTGGTTTTTATTTTACCAGATCCTCCGGCTACCAAGGTGCCTCCTGTATACCCTTTTCTTTCTTTCTTTCTTTCTTTCTTTCTTTCTTTCTTTCTTTCTTTCTTTCTTTCTTTCTTTCTTTCTTTCTGTAACTGGTACTGTTACAGGAAAGTTCTTACTGATGTCTGGTCTCCCACTTGGCAGCTTTGGATTTCTTCTTCCTGTCTTGAGGAAGTTCTGATATCAAGAGCTGCAGTCAACGGCTACATAGGGCATTACTCCTGTACCACATTTATACTGCCAGTGTGTGTGTGTGTGTGTGTGTGTGTGTGTGTGTACTCCTGCTTTCATGAACTCCTACACACAGGTATAGGTGCTCTTTCTCAGGATCTGTCCATTCTGGTTTTTTTTGTACAGTGATTTTCACTGGGATATGAGCCAGTGGGTTAGGCCAAGCTGGCTGGCCAGCAAGCTCCAGGGATCTACCTGTAGCCATTTCCCCAGTGCTGGGACAAAAACTAGGACAGGTGCACGATGCCATGACTGGCTCTTTCTCAGAGGTCATGCTAGCATGGCCAGTACTTTCCTGACTGAGTTATCTCCCCATCCTCCCAGACACTATTAGCACCTCTCTCACTTAGTCCTTGCAGAAGCCACACAAAGCCATGCATATGTTATTCTCCTTCTAGAGCTGAGATAAACATTCAGAGAAGTCAAGTATTAGGCATACAATGACACAGCCAGTGATGCAGGGGACAGGCTCAACTGACTGGCTGCTCTGTAAGATCTGTCCTCAGTTCAGAAGCTGAAGCAGACTTTGGGTTAGATCAGTACAGTCAATAGACAAGAACGTGTGTGTTTATCCCAACACTCTAGAGACCAAGACAAGAGGATCACCAAAAGTGCAGGTATCCTGAGATTCATAGTGAGGCTGTCTCAGGAAGATTAGATAGATGATAGATAGATAGATAGATAGATAGATAGATAGATAGATAGATAGAAAGATAGATAGATAGATAGATAGATAGATAGATAGATAGATAGATAGACAGACAGAGATAGGGAGGTAATAAAGACAGAAGAAAGGAAAAACAGAAGGGAGGAAGGGGAAGGGAGGGAGGGAAGGAGGAAGGAAGGAAGCAAGGAAGGGAGGGAAGAAGGAAGGAAAGAAGGAAGGAAGGAAAGAAGGAAGGAAGGAAAGAAGGAAGGAAGGAGAGAAGGAAGGATGGAAGGAAGGAAGGAAGGAAGGAAGGAAGGAAGGAAGGAAGGAAGGAAAACAAATGGTGCTGGAAGGCGGAGGCAGGTGCCTTGGGGCTAGTTGTACACTGTGATTTTCCTAACTCTTTGCAGGTTATAACTTGATTTAAGCTGTTGCCCACTCAGTTATTTGTTTCTAGGTGACAGGATACATACGTGTGCATATGTATGTGTTTGTTGATTTGAGACATATTTTGCTCCAAAATGCATGAAGCTGTAGCTGCTGGTAATAAAGAGGTCTTCTGAGGTCAGAGCTTGAGGTCAAAGACTATTTTGTTTTCTCCTTTCCTCCTCTCCCTCTTCTCCTTTTCTTCTTTTTTCTCTTCTTTTTTCTTTATTGAGACAGATTCTTACGTGTTCTGGGGCTGGCTTAACTGCCATTACATAGCCCAGAATAATCTTAAATTTCTGCTTTGTTTTGTTTTCTTTTTTTAAAAAAGCATTTCTGTATGTAGACTTGGCTTGTCCTGGACTTGCTTTGTAGACCAGGATGGCCTCGAACTCATAGAGATCCAACTGCTTCTGCCTTCCGAGTGCTGGGACTAAAGGTGTACATCATTACTGCCCATCTAAAATCCTGTTTCTAACTCCAAAGTGTTAGAGATTAAAGACAGGCACCACCATATCCAGTTAATAGGGCACACAGGACCAAACCCAGAATGTCCTGCATGCTAGGCAAGCACTCTACCAACTGAGATATATTCTGGACTTTCCTTGCTGAGTCCATCCTTGACTGGGATTCTGGACCTGAAAGAAGATGGGAAGGGGGCGAATGGGGCCAGACTTTGCAGGTGTGAGACCATAAGCTTCCTTCAGCTCTGCAGTCTCTCTTGCTTTTCAGTTGGGACACCTGGAGTAGTGAAGACAAGGGACCCAGTGCCAGAGCCTTTGTCTCTGGTTGCCTTCATGTCACTATAGAACCCAGCAGTCTCTATCTACCTCTGCAACCCCAGCCAGCTCCTTTTCTCTGTGCTACAGCCAGCAGCAGCCCTGAATGCACACTGGGGAGGGAAGCTGGGTTCTAGGTAGTAAACAACAGGCCAGCTGACTGCTGAGTCTGAGGTCACTGGCACTTTATCTTATTGGAATCCTGCCTTCCTTTCCTGGCCAGACCCAGATGGAAGGTTTAACGCTTCCTCAGCTTAATGATTGGGTCATCACCTTTGCCTGACCATCTGAGGTTGCAGGTGGGAATACCACAGAATGCAAAATGTGTTTTCTATTAAGCTTAAATTAAAAGTGGGAATCAAGATTGATACCTTTTCTGTGGTGTCCCTGTCACTTGATGTATTTCATTCTCTGGGGCTGCCACTGTCTGAAAATGCAGTTTCCTAGTATGTTTCTCAGGTCAGACCCACATGGCCATTCCACCCAGCTCCTTTGAAAATGAAGAGGAACAACAACAAAACCCCTTTTCTTCTGCTTCTGGTTCAACCTGGGAGCTGTTGGGCTTCCAGGCATCCCCAAACTCCCCCCAGTGGCTCTGTGGCTGAACTGTCAGTTGGGGACAGACAGTCCTGCTTCCCCAAGGTCAGCCCCATTGATCTTGGCCTGGGAAGGGACTGATCTCATGTGCCACTGTCTCAGCTGCAAAGAGCACCTCTGTTCAGTGGGTGTATCTGGAAGGTGTTGCAGGAGCTGCAAATCATACCAAGAGTTTGGGAAAGAGAGGAAGTCAGGATGGGATTGGTTTAATTGGTTTCGATCCAAAAGGCTACAGAGGAGTTTTGGGAAGCATGTATCTGTTGGTGCAGTGCAAATGGAATGATTTGTGAGGAAGTTGCTTTGGCCCTCAAGGTAAAGACTGGAGATGAGATTAGCCCTGGAGATGGGAAGGGAGACAAATGGGGTGTGATTCGCCTATGTCTGCATCTTAATTTAGGCGAAGTCAAGCATCTTCCACCAGACTTGGCAGGTCCTCTGTGGTAGTGACCTTAGCTCAGGCTGAAGATTTCAAGTATCAGAAGTTTGTCCAAGTACCAGAGGCAAGGACGGGTGCTTTGCACAGGCCAGATACCGTTGGATGGACTCCTGAAGCTGGCCAGCCTCAGTTGCATTGGTCAAGAAACAGGGATCACAGAGTTGTGTCCGTAGTGTCCACAAGGGGGTGTCCTGTCTATATGAAGCGAATGACACTGGGGCTCCTGTCTGCCTGAGTCTTGTTCCCTCAGACATTTCAGCATCCTAGTTAGTCTCAGCACCTCCATCTTCCTCCTGTGTTACACCAGTACCTCCTTTGCAATAGCTGAAATGCTCAGAAGTGAAGAGCCGGTACCTCTAGGCAGGTCTCATCTATCCAGAGGGTAGAGGGGCTCAGGACATTGTTATTTCTTTCTTATAATGGAAAGTTTCTCTCTAATTTATAATTAAGCACTTGAAAACTCGAAGTATAGCTTTTTTTTCCCCAGAAAACAAGAATAGTCAACTGTTTCTTTTGAAAGTAAATTTGATGCCAGAACGTCTTACCTACAGGAATCTTCTCTTCAAAAAAAGGTCAGAAATAAGAGAATAGAGAAGTGCTATCAATTTTGACCTTAATTTTTTTTTTTTACAGCATATGTGTGTGTTTTATGTGTGTAGGTACCAGTATGCTTTAGTGTATATGTGGAAGCCAGAGGTCGCTCATGGGAGTTGGTTCTGTCCTTCCATCATGTGGGTCCCAAGGACTGAACTATGATTGTCATGGTTGGAGGAAAATCTTTTCACCCATTGAGCCCTCTTGCTGGCCCAGTTTTGAGTTGCAGCAATCCATGCTTTGGCTCCAGCCCCCAGTTTTCCGGTACTGACCTCCCTTTACTCTGTGTTCTTCATCTGTGTTGAGGGTCTCAGCTCTTTTCCCTCCACCTCTTGCTCAAAGGGAAAGTATTTGACCCTGGCTGCTCCCAATTAAAAGAACAACACGATGGTGCTGAGAATCAGCTTCACCCCAACCTTGCAGCAAAGCCCTGGCCTTGCCCTTAACATGAAACAGCCCTTGCAAGTCAGCCTGAAAAAAGTCATAAAGGGCTTAACAGCATGTTGGTCAGAAGGAAAAAGTTCTCAGCACCATAGAGCTGACAATGTCTGACAAATGGCCTCCCATGGCTTCTACATAGCTAACTAGTACCAATAACCAGTGAGTTCTAGAGGCTGGAACCCCAAAGGAGAAACTGTATTAAAGAAGGAAAAACAGGTCAGCAAACTTTCCATCTCGATCATTTTAAATCTAGATGCCTCCAAGGGTTATTACGGTGTCTGTTACATTTCGACAACATTTAAATTTAACACAACTATAATTTTTGCTTTGGCCCACAGTCTTCCACTCAACTTTGTGTCATAAGCACATCTCATATTTTTACCACAATAACCATTTTAGCACCAGAAAAACTCGCCTTGGGTAGACCTGTTGCTGTTATCAGCATCCTCTTGATCCAGAAAACTTCTGCACTTTCAAAGACTTTCCACACATGTGCTTGTTCTACCTCCTCTCAACTCTGAAAATTCTCTTCTAGCAACCCCCTTTCTGGGAACTTTGCATGTTGTGTGACATCCTCCATAATGTTCACACCTATTCTTGGGAGGGGAGAATCCATAGTTTTTCGATGGCCTCCAAACACCAAACTCTGTTCCCTGCTCCCTCTATAGCTGCTCACACCTTCACCCCTGTCCACACCTTCACTCCTTGTCCAATAGGAGTCTTTCCATGGTTTGATGATGAGCACTGACTGATTCCTCCTGGACCTTGTGAGCAGCAGATATCTGTCTCGTGCTAGTGTTTGAGGTTCAGATTCTTTGGTGACAGAAGGAAAACGTGGGGACTTGGGCATTTATGGGTGGGTCAGAAATTCAGGCCTGGAGGTCACGTGGTCTGAACGGGCTTACAAAGTCCAAATGTCCTTGAACACGGTCCTCACTTGGCACCCGCCATAAAAAACAGTATTACTGAGTCCTTTGTGTAGAGCTCATGGAGGCTTCTGTCATTTCTTCTTCCTTAGGGACCACTCAGCCTTCTGCACAGACAGTGCTGGAGGAGCCTAGAAGTCAGGCTTGAAGGTGCTCTGTGCTGCTGGCCTTGGCTTCCCACACCCACCCTCTCTGTCTACTGTGTCTCCTGCTCTGTGTGGAGCATGGCAGAACTCGGCTCAAAAAATCCTTTGTTTTTTCCTTTCATCAAGCACTTAAAGGCTGAGAAATACAGATCGTTATTAAATGCTAATCATCCAAAAGTCAGAAAAGACGGGGTAGAAAATGGTCCCCTTTTTAGAGTGTTATTTCTTGGACTGACCTCATGTTGCAGCAACTCAGACATGAGGTCATTGCATTGGAGCTAGCGTACTCTCTCCCAGCATTACCAGCTGCCTTAGAGAGGTGGCTAGATAGCCCAGAGGCACCCGTGGAAACTCCCAAATGCATTTTAAAGAACTTTATTTTGAATTTTCCAGCCAGTGTGTGTTGTTCCTGATCCCCACAGAACTCTCTTACACTGAGACTAGGATTGCACTGATAGCAACTGACTGTGCATGGAGATCTAGTACAGGGTGAACCGGCCCAGAGCCTATGAGCCCAGGAAAAGAAGCCGCACGGTGCGGTCTGAGGTCTCAGCATCCAAAGTGGCCTTGAAAACATCAGGCTTTCTCAAGCTTAGCTCTTGCAAAACCTCTGGCAAAATAGGCCATTCATGGAGGAGAGTGCATCCTGCTCTGACCAGCCTCTCTTTGACATGACTGGCTAGCCGAATGCTCTCATGCAGAACGAGCCCACGCCTGCCTTCAGGTGGCTTCAGCTCATCTTTGCAGACCACTGAGAACACCTTCAGCACCTGGGGTTAGCATGAGGATAGCACTTGGCATGCATTTCTGACAGAGAGTTAAGACTGGGTCGCTAGCTTGTTCAAAAGATTTCCTTTCCCTATTTATCAAAATTCGAATGGAACTGGTGGGTGCTCAGTATGAGAAAGCCCCCTGTTGGGTAACTCTTTTTTTTTTTTTTTTAAATTAAGCTTTCCCTCTCCAAAGTTCTGTCTACCATCCAGGCTGTTCTGGGGAAGCTTTCATTGTCTGCTAAGAATCCCATGCCCTGGATACTCTTCTTTTTTCATGGCCGTGGGGGAAGCAGCCATGTAGGATAGGGTTGAGGCGTCCGTCAGAATGACTCCAGGGTGGGGAGAGGAATACATTAGCTCCCACAGCCTTAGATCCTATGTCTACATTCAGAGTTTTTAGCAAGAGCTCCAACCAGAGTTTCTATCTCTGTGCAATATTAGGTAGTGGAAGCTTCTGGAAAAGCCTACCTAGTCTCTGGTGTTATCCTTCCATGTCCCAGTTCCCTGTAGTTTTTCTATTTTTGATTTGCTTTCTTTGACACTCCTGGGTTTGGCCTTTCTCTTGCATGTTTTGCAGGAACCTATGTGACCTTGACATTGTTCCAGTCCTAAGGATATTGTCCCTTGGCATATATCCCCTGTGACTGGTATTAGGTGTCGGCCTTTTCCCTCTGGGTTGCTCTTGGGGCCTAGCAGGCCCTCCCCCAGCCATGAGAGCTCATGGGACACTTACTTTCCCTGAGGTAACTGAGGTGTGACAACAGCACTTCGGTGTTGTAGAGGGAGGTGGCTCGGAGGAAATCCTCCTTGTTCATTTTACACAGTTCCTTGCCATCCATGTTCTGGAAGAAGGAGGTGTCAATCTCCATCAAGCCATATTCCTTTATGGCCCACTCCAGCCATTGTCGAACATGCTCCTGAGTCCACAGTGTGGGGTCTGCAGAAGAGAGATGAGAACAGTCAGCATGAGAGCCTGCCTCTAACAGCCTAGGCTGCTCTCCTCTCTCCCTTTTCCCTCTCTTCCCGTTTGCCTCCCTCCTACATCCTCTCCCTCCTCCTGTACCCCTCTTTTCTTTTCTGATTTCTTTTTTTTTACCTCTCTTTCTTCTATCACCCCTCTGTTCCTTTTCCTTCCTTTCCCTCATCCCTTTTCCCTTTTCTCTTTCTTCATTCACATTATCTTTATTTCCCCCCTTTTCCCTCTTATACCTCTCTCTCCCCCTCTCTTTCATCCTCCCTTCCAGGTGGTTCCCCTCAGAACACCCCATCTCATTCCATGGCATCTGGTACTGCCTGAACCACTTAGCACTGGGAAAGGTTCTTAGCTGCCTCAACATGTACCCTGACAAGATGCTATTTAAAATTTTTGGAGGGCAATTGAAACCTTGGCCTAAGAAATAGTGGGATCAAAATGAAAATAAACAATCCCATAGCACCATTGACCAATGTCTCTGGAAAGGGGAGCCATTTGTCTCTTAATAAGACTATTAGTGAGTACAAGAGGGCACACGGATTCCTCAGACGCTACAGAAGAGAAATTTATACATGCATGCTTTTCCTCTAATTCCATCTGGGCAGCTGGAAAAGCCAATGGTGTTAGTGTTTGTCATAAACCCAATCTGGGTTTCTTTATTTTGGGGGACAGCTGTGTTAAGATTTCTACCAGACCATCCCTAAACATTTTTAGGATATTTAAATACTTAAAAATGAGAAATGGTGCTAGAGATAGAAACCTCTTTAACTGTGAGTGAGCAAGAACAGCACAGGACCCCACTGCTCCCACTTTTTCCTTTTCTCCTTTCTCATTGTTTCCTGAAGCACCTTCTTAGTCTGAGGTGGAAGATGTTATAAGTGATAGGCAACCATAGGAATGGTGGTACATATCAGTAAGCCCTCCACTCAGGAAGCTGAGGCAGGAGGATTGTGTATTTGAGTCCATCTTCTCTCTGTCTCTATCTGTCTCTCTGTCTGTCTGTCTGTCTGTCTGTCTGTCTCTCTCTCTCTCTCTCTCTCACACACACACACACACACAGGTCCATTGGCATGAGAGCCAATGAAACTGTAGGCATCAAAGCAGTAAGTATACAATGGGTTTGTGTTGGTAGTTCAAGGACCCTTGGATAGAGGGTCTGGGATGAATTTACTAGAAAACAGTTGGTATTTTATTGCAGGGCAGCTGGTTGCTCCTGCTTCTGCTTTTCTGCTTGGTCTGTTTCATTTAGCATGTGTATTTAGCAGGAAAGCTCATGCTCCCTTTAAACCAACTCACATTCCTCTCATTCTAGAGCCTGTAAAAGCTCAGGGGAGTCAGTTCTAAATGCTCAGCAATGGCAATGGGGCGGAGGCCAGGTGCTGTGTGGTCTCTAGGGGTTATAAAGGAAACTTTGAGAGGTTGAGAGGGAGTGCTGAGAAAAGCTTGGGGTTCACACATCACAGCTCCTACATGTCTTACTAGGAATTCAAGATGTATCTACATAATGATAGTCCAACTGTGAGATCCTATACCACAGGCCAGCTCCCTATCTGTAACTTTTTTTTTCTATCAAGGGAATCTACAAAATGGCTCTTATTATACCCATTTTAAAGACGGTTAGGGAATATAAAAGTTTTGCCTTAGTAACTACTGGTGGGGTTCCTATAGAGGCCTTCAAAAGACATCACATTGTTGGAGAAGCAGGTCCCTGAGACTCCCCTCAATCTTATCTTGTGAGGATCCTGCCTTAACTCATTTGAAAACTGCAGAGCCTTGTTCCAGAACCCAGAATTCTCCTACCCAAGCCCACTTGTGCATATGTGCATTTGCGCCCTTCAATAAACTTCTGGCTTTGTTTTTATCCCTTTACTTTTTAGAAATCATCAAGCAAGAGCTGTGGATAAATGAAAAATCTTAGAATCCTAAAGAAAGATGTCTGGAAGGAGTTGGATTATGAAGCATATTATTTCACCCATAGCTTCTCCCAGTTTCTTACTTGTGGGAATTTGGTTGACTCCAAGACTGTACATTCAATTTTATGCCTTATATTTTATTTATTTTATTATTTCCTCTCTTTGCTTTGGGCTCCATCACAGCATTAATTCTCTCCCTCTCCAGTACAATGAATTATAAATCTTCCACTCTGGATCATGCTAAACTCTTCCAAATGTATTTCCTGGACAATTTAGCCCTTGTTCCTTTCCCATCTCAATGTGGAAATGGTGATTAACTAGAGCCCTCATTTATACTTGTCTTAAAATCCCATCATAAATTCAATCGGTTGTTCCACTAATGTTTTATTGCCTTGATTTGTGGACTTGCCCAAATGAGACTTTCCCTTGCATCCAGGAGGCTGACCTGGAGGAAGCCAAACTGTCTAAGAGTAATGCTTACAGATCTAGCCTGCAGAAGAGTAACTGAATAGATCCAAAGCTCATGAATTCATTACTCCAAGTGCTTTGAAAGAGCTTGATAAGAATTTATGCTAGTTTTATTTTTGCTGCTATGGTTAAGTCAGTCCACTGAAGACCGATCTTTTGCCAATCCTCTTGAAAACATTTCAACACCATTTAAAGGGTAGAGAGTCAACCAAACAATATGGTCCCCTCTTCCTTCTTCCCATATGCCCTCCATTATGACAAACAAAATGAGATGATGACAATAGCCTGGTTCTGAGGTAATCTCCAATTCCCTAATGGTTCATCCCCTCAAGATTTCCTTCCTGTGCTGCTTTGAGGCTGGAGCAGGCAATTTTGATAGCAAAGTCTTGGCCTGGCCTTGTGGTGTGGAGAGAGTTTCCCACTACTGTTTGTTTCAATAGAATTTTACAGCCTGAAAGTAGGGAGAAGATCCACCTGAGCTCACCATCACCAGCTGGTCTCTTGAGGGTGGTGGCAAATCAATGAGATGAGCTGATAATGCAGTAGAGAAAGCTATTTACATTATACCTGGCACCTGTGAAACAGGCTAAATGAAGCTCTTCTGGCCACGAGTAGGTGGCATGCACCTGTAGTTAGTCCCAGAACTCAGGAGACAAGGGCGGGAGGATTGCTGCAAGGCCCTTCCTGGCTTACACGTGTTCTAGGACAGCATTGCTGCCCAGTGAACCCCTGTCTCAAACAAGCAGTCAAATAAAGACTATGAAGCTCTCCTTGCGATTAGGCCCTATGATTGAAGAAGATGGGGCTCACACAATGTTTAGTCCTATGAGTTACAGAACCATACTCCCCTCAGTCCCTCTTCTTCTGCCCCTATTCCTGCTACCCTTTACACTTTTTCTCATGTGCACATTAGCCCAGAGATCGGAAATGCGCTGTCACACCATGACAGCAGACACAACTTCCTATGGAAACAAACACCAAGGACAGAGGAAGGATGTGCCCATCACAAAATCATCCTCAGACCAACAGACAGATTCCTTCAAACTCTCTCGGAGACATCTAATCGTTCCAAGACAACCGCATTTACATGTTTACAAATGGAAGGATGAAAGTCTCTGGAGAAGATATTTTGGTAAGATTAGTTCTAGCCTCTGCCCCTCAATTCACTTTGTTCAAGCTCTGGACATTCTGCCCCTCCCACCTGGCACCCCCTCTAATTCCCTCCATGTCCAGGTGGCTGAGTATGCTGGGGTTGGCCTACGCAGTGGCTAGCCAATAGGCTGGAGGATTTAACAATAGTTTCTCTCTGTCCTCCCTCCCCCTACTGTAACCAACAGCACCAATACCTAGGAAAAAAAGAGGCTATTTCTACATAATGACATAACTTGTGGCACACACGTGGAGGCGTTTCGTTTGTTAAATATAGTTATTTCTATTTTAAAACCGAAAGAGCTGGCTGTAATTTGGGGAAGGTGGAACCTAACAGAAGCCAGGAAGTACATGCCCGAGGGAAGGGTGGACATGGGTAGCTGCAGCCTTGCCTCTGCTCTTTGGGTTGGTTTCATCCTGGGGGTACCAGGCTACTCATAGAAAATCTGTCTTGTGCTATGTTTGAGAGTGGGGATTCTGAAACCTGCATGCTAGGGTTCTGGTGACATTTGAGGTCCTGCCTCGGATGGTAGCTAGGGAGTCAAGGAAGCTGCACAACTTTCTCTGGTTTCCATTTCCCTGAAGACTAGGGAGGGTGCTAGGTATGGTTTTTCATGTTCCAAGAGACAGGCCCACCCTTCCGCTACAGCCCCTGAATCATGGGAAATGTGGGCACTGGCCAGGCAGCTGGTTCCCAAGGTACCTGCAGGCACAATGACTCTCCGTTCGTTGGTGGTCATGTTGGGAGGAGGAGGGCCATTCTTCTCATCCATGTAGCTGTTATAGTTCATGGGGTTGGTTTCACCTCCGCCCACCAGCTTGTTGCATTTGCTGACACTGCAGTCCACTGGAGACTCCCTGGAGCGCGAGGAGACATAGATCAAAAGAAGTCATCACTAAAGGGATATCTTACTCCAGCCTCGGCAGGGTTGGCCAGTCACCAGAGGCTCCTGGGATAATGACAATGGCAACGAAATCTTATTGCCGTTCTTCGTGCAGAGCCCTGCCTGATTCCGTCATAAACACTCGGTGTCTCCTGATCAAATGTGTTTCAATGGTCCATAGCCCTCCCAGACTGTCTGCAGTGTCCAGTTTCAACCTGATTGTCAGTGACCAACACTTCCCCACCTTCACTAGCCCTTTTCTTACACAGGCCTTTTCCATAGTTGTATAGTACTTTATATCTGCCTCTGCTACAGGCACGTAGCCGAGGTACAACATGAGATGGTCCGTGGGGCTTGTGCCCTATCTCTGCCCTTTCTTCAGATGGTGTCATCACTCGCTGGTCCAGCTATTTCTATTGTACACATATGGTGTTTGCTTTATCTGAATTTCCTGAAAACCCTTCCAGATATGTGGAATAATCATTCTCACATCCTCTTTATGGATATCAAAATGGAAAGGTGTGGTGGCTAGCAAAGGTGGATGCAGAGCTCAGGTCCCCAGTTGGGCTTCTGAATTAAAGTCCACATACAGGAGAGCTGGGCGCTGCAAGGAAGAGGAGTAGAACCCCAGACATATCCTGATCTGTAAAGACTCTTTCAGCATTCTATAGCCCCGAGCAGTAAGTTCACAGAGGAAGAAATATGGGAATGCAACAAGGAAGAAAGCACATCCTGGGCTAAAACAACACATCCCAGTTAGCATCTGATATTTGCAGCATCTGGCACTGAGCAATGGGCCGGAGAGCTGGGCTGACATGCCCGCTGTGGTCAGCTGATGCAGCTGAGTACACACAGAATACTCCACAGATCCCCCGTGACCTTCAGCATAGCACCATGGAGTTCTCAGCGTGCCAAGGGAGGTGCCATCCCGGCTTGCCCAGCTCTCACTCAGTCCTTCCAAGAAGCAAACCATAGCAGAGTCCTAGAGGTGCAGTGGTATGGTAGGGCCAGGCAGCAAGCATCATCTTGGCAGCCTGGGAGGTGGCCAGTTCTCTTGAAAATGCCAAACCAGGAGGGCTTCAGAGCAAGGAGATGAGACAAGGTTTTTATTCCAGCCTGCCAGCTCTGCAAGCTAGCCTCTCCCTATGTTCCTCAGCCTGGCTGCTGCCCTCTGTCACTCTGCTGTCTGTCATTCTATGGTGGGCAGGAACAGATTGAGAGCCCTTAAGGAAGAGGCCTTGTCTGCTAGGGAGTCACCCATTTCCACAGCTAGCAGAGCAGTCACCAGCCCGGGAGGAGGGAGAAGAGCCCAGGGTTCCCAGGAGTCAGGCAGAGCGGGGAGGCCTGAGCACATTCAATAAAGAAAATTAAATGAATTTGTTTCTTAATCTGAAAGGAAAAAAATATTGCAGATCACTTATCATGGCTGGGAGATAAATGCTCCACTGAGATATTAGAAGTCAGACGGTAATTTTTTCCTGATGTCTTACCGAGGAGAACATGGGCTGAAAATGAAAATAAGATGTATAACTTACACATGTTAGAATTTAAGGTTTTACTATTTGCCTACTGTTTTTCCAGGCAGAGAACCAAGAACCAGCCGTCAGAGTCCCGGATTGTTGAAGGTTTAATGTCCCCATGGCAGTCGGAGGGGAGGCAGTAGCACATCAGGGCTTTTCACCAGCGCTCGGCCCTTTGGCTTCTGCTGTTGAAGGACTTGGCTTGAGATGAAGGCACCCCAGTCAGCCCCTGGTGCCTGTGTCTAAGCTGAGCTGGCCCGAGCATGCTGCTATCTCCCAGGAAAGCTGTGTGTGCGCGTGCACACACACTCGCACACACACACACATCTTGCACACACGCAGCACACATACATAACAAAAGCACTCAGACCCTAAACTTTAACTACATCTGTACACACACAAAAACAGTTCGCTATGCTCTACGCACTTTACCACACATCTCACGAGCACAATGTACACGTATATCCATGTACTGCACCACATATATACGTTTCCACAAATATGTGCATGCATACATACTACTTTACACAGTATGTAAACATGTATATACACATACATACATATCAGTGGTCCATCGTACACACACACACACACACACACACACTACAAATGTGTGCATATGTGCTCTAAATACACATCCCTACAGTCATACATACTCTATCACATAAAATACATATATACACTCTACCACCTACATGTTTATGATAGGCATGCATGCAAACATCCATAGTCTATCCCACACATATAGAGAAATGCACACCCTCCACCACAGATATGCGCCTATGTGCTAGTACATACACCACCCCCCTCCCCTTACATCGCCAAAGTCTGGTTGTCTTCCCCAGATTCTTGTCAGATGAGGAACTACCCAAATGCTAGAGAAGCTTGGAGAATTGAGTTGGCCTGAAACCAAGACAGTGAGATTTTCACTGGCTGGTGCGGGTGGAGAGGGCGGATGGCACACACCCTTCCTGTGCAGGGGGCCCAGACAACCAGGTTCAGGGGTAGAAGAGGGGGCTCCCACTTCAAGGTCTCCCGTTTGCGAATATTGGGGATAGGGGTTTTTGAATGTTCTTTTTCATAGGCGCTGCACTTTGGAATGCCTGCATTTAAAATTGGCGTCTTTTCAGGCAGAGGCTAGATCCTCATGAATGCACAAACTAGTGGCCCTTTATGGTTTGGAGCTGTGCGCAGCGGGCATGGGTGGCAAGGTTGCTTCTACTCCTTCGAGTAAAACAAAAATAAAAACAGACAAGAAAGAAAAAAAGCAAAAGAAACGATATGACATAAAACAAGACCTGCATGATAGGGACCAGTGATGAGGCTGCCCTAAGCATGACCAGGAAGCAGGTGCGGAAGAGCTGGGGTCCCCGAGGCTCCATGGCTGGCTGTGCCTGCTCACCAGTGAGTCTCTTTCACTGTGTGGCCTAGCTGTCACCCCTCCTCTAACCTTCTTCCAGTTATACCCTGGAGGCTGGTGACCTCCCTGGCTGTCCCTCCTGGCCTTCTTTGGAATAAGGCCCTTTTCTTGGTTCCAGACCGTTGCCATCAAGGTCTGTAAAGGGACTTCCTTAGAATTAAGGCCTGACACCCACCCAAGACCTTTGCCCTTGCAGAGCTGGCCCTCTTACTCCAGTTCAGGGTGAGAAAGAAAGAAACTATACCTTGCACACTTGCCTTCCTGATTGCCTCCATTCTCTTTGACTCAGCCAGAAAGCACAGCCATAGGTTTGGTGACCACTGCCTGTCCAGGTGAAGTCTAGCATAAAGGCTGCTCTTTAATGAGGCAGCTGGTGCCTGTGAAGAGGGCTTGAGGAAAACAAGAGAGAGGGGAGGCGGGAGCCCTGGCGGGGGAGGAGGTTTGGCCATTCATTTTGCCCCTACGGCTGCTGCTAATTTGTATTGAGACCTGCACTTATAGCAAGCAAGGGGTTGGGGCCCACAGGCAGCTGACTGCACTGGGGCAGGTGACAAGAGGGCTTGAGGCTGTCACAATAGAGCAAGGAGGAAGTGACGGCTTGAGTGTGTAACTCAGAGCATCTCTACCTCAGGCCTGAGGAAGGCCACAGACAGCAGGCCACAGCCTTAAGACATAACCATCCCAGACATAAGCTTCTGTTTCTGTGTGTTTATGGAACACTGCTTTAAAAAAAAAAACCCGCCAGTGGTTCATACAAGTGCCTTCAGACTCCTGAGCAATATAAAGCGAGGCGTGAAACCCTAAGAGGGGTAAAGGGGGATCTCAGACTTCTCCCAAAGAAAGTTTCCCCTTTCACTAAGAGTGCCTGGAGACATGGTGCACAGTCAGATCAAAGATTGGCTGGCTGGCAGTCAGGGACCCCCCAGTACCCACGAAGCTGCCAGGCTCCCTGAGCTGCATGGTTGCCTTGGGGTCTATCCACGTGTCTTTCATGTGTATTGCACACCTGGGGAAACCAGGCTGGCTGCCTTTAGGGTTTCTGTGATAACCATGTGAAGAGGGGTTGGTTACTTTTGATAAGGAAGTGTAATTTCAAGAAAAGAAGCAAAACAAAACAAAAACCACACACAAACCCCACCACCACCACCTTGGCTTTCAACACAAGCGGTATACACTCTACTGGTGCAAGCCTTAGAATTTAGAAATGTGGGAAGGTGCTGGAGACGTGTAAGCGACAGTGTGAAGGAGGCTCATCGCTCGTGAGTGTGGAACAGGGTTCTCTGGGTGCTCAGTGCCTCCTGATGATGCTGGCCAGTCCAGCGCGTCTCAGGGCAAGTGGTGCTAAGTTCAGATCCTGAATGCCAGGTACCTAAAACTAGTTGTAACATTTCTCCCTCACGAACTGATAGTGTTTCCTTCATGCACTGTTTTCTCCAGTTCCCATGGTTGAAACAGGATGCAGCTGAGAGTTATTTGCAGACCACAGCTTGGATCAAGTTTCTGAAGTTTATATCCAACACAGAACCTATGGGCTGTGCTGTTTGGAGGGCAATCCAGAGAACCAGATTCAACCACAACAGGAAGATGAGAAGGGAGACAAAGTTAACCTCCCACAACTCAGGCAACCCAGACCATCTCTCCTGCCTCAGATCTCAGCCCTTCTGCATGACCATTTGACCTTGGCCCAGATGGCTTGCTACTAGGATAAAAGGCAAGAGGGTATTATGGCTTCAGAGACACAAAGTACCTCCTCCTTCCTGATAAGAACACAGACATCTATGGAGCTTCCAATAAGCACAAAGAAGTAACCCAGAAACCCATGCTTCTCAAAAAAAAACATGGTCGGGATGCCCTGTGAATCACTGGGTGGTCTGAAACGTGCTGCTCCAGCCAGGTCCAATCCAAGTAGATTGTCAGTCACATGTTTGAGCCACATGGGTCATTTTCACCTTACTGGTAGGTGCATTCTTAAAGTTAGAGAGAGAGAGAGAGAGAGAGAGAGAGAGGCTGGAGAGATGCCTCAGCAGTTAAAGAGCACTTGTCTTTGCAGAGGACCATGTTTGGCTTGAAACCATCCATAACTTCAATTCCAGGGAATCCGACCCCCATAGGCACACAGGGCTAGTTAGCAGCTACTGTATCACGTGACACCGGCCTAGCTTACAAGCCAAGAACTCCCAAGTTGTCTGCCCTTCTTTGTTTCCTTGTTTGAAGAGTAGGAACATTTACACACCCTCCTCTACATTTTAAAACTTATTTTGTGTCCGTCCATGCATAAACATATATGTGCGGGCGCATGTGTGTCATGGCATGGGTATGGAAATGAGAAGACAGGTCAAAAGAGTTGGTGGTTTCATCCTACCGTGTAGGTTCTGGGGATAGAACTCAGATCTTCAGGCATGGTGCCAGGCATCTTTTCCAGCTGGACCATCTCACTGGCCCTCCCCTACATTTTGTGTAATGATAGGTGGACTTTCTGAAAATTATCAAATCATTTGCAAATCTTGATACCCACCAGAAATAGAAGGCAAGGCCCTACTGAAGATGCCACACATTCTGGTCACAGGACACAGAGAAATAGAGTTGCAACTGAGTTGGGAATTCTCTCCCTGCTGACTGGCATTTGTGGTACCAGAAGGTTCTATGCAGGCTCCTGGTGTGTGTGTGTGTGTGTGTGTGTGTGTGTGTGTGTGTGTGTGTGTGACTCTTCTGTAAGTTATGATTGCTGAACAACACTGACTGGTCAGGTACTACATACCCCCTGGTCCAATAGTTGCATGACTACATGCTGGGTAGCCAGGCACTCTGTGATTGGAACCTATTGCATGAGAGGAGATATATATCTGGTACCATAAATGTGGTCAAACGCTGGTGATGGCTAGTGGGATCTTGGACCCAGTGAGAACATAAGGCTGCTGTTTCCCTAAATGAATTTGTTAACAATCCTAAATATTTATATTTATATCAATGTCAACAGACTAGTGTTGCTTTCAGTCTAGAAAAGAAAGGCTTTTTACAGTGGAGTGATGGTTAGCATCGAGACTCAGACTTCACCAAAGTGCTGAGAGAAAGCATCCCAAAGACATCGATATCACACATGCCCCAATCTTCCAGGAGACTGCAGAAGAGTGGATGGAAGAATGCAAGAGCTGAGGGTTGGGGAGGAATGCCATAAAATCCTAACACAGAGACGCAACATACTAATACAACCACAAAGACCCAGCCGCAATGGATACCGGTGGAAGACTGGACCCTTCAACATTCCTTCAGATAGAGGAGGTGCCCGTGACACTGGCCCATCTGAAGGAGGTATTAACTCAGATTACTGCAGAAGGGAGTGTGATACCCTTCCTGGGGGACCACTTGTAAGAAGAAAGGGTTCAGAGGGAAAGCAAGTGGGATAACGGAAGGCGATGGGGTGACCTTAACCGCAATACGTTCTAAGTATGTGTGACACTATAGAGACTTTAAACATGTGCAACTAAGTACTTTTAATGGTGTGATACAGATAACAAGATAAATGAAGGGTTCAGGATGAGTAATTTAAATGAACTGGCATCTATGAATTCATTTCATTTCTTGTGCTCTCTTTTTCTCTCTCTGCCTTTCTTTGTCTTTCTGTCTCCCCCCTCCTCTGTGTGTGTGTGCCTGTGTGTGTGTGTGTGTGTGTGTGTGTGTGTATTTGTATATGCATGTGTTTCTGAGCTGTGGTGCATGCCTCTGGAGACCAAAGGAAAGTTTTGTGTATCGTTCCTCAGGGACCATTTACCTTTCTGTGACATGGGGTCTGTAGCTCACTTAAATAGGCAAGGCTATCTGTTCAGTGAGCCTCAAAGATGTGCCTCCTCAGGTTCTGGGCTTACTGGTACATACTTCCCTGCCTGGTATTTTTACACTCCACTTCTTTTGTATAGTTAAGTAATAAGTGATATATGGGTAAAGATCCAGAAGAGACCTACAAATTAATGCAGTAAGAATGTTCTCGAAAGAAGGAACTTGGAGAAGATAAGCTGGATAGTGGTGTGCTAGGGAGTCCTGGAGCAGCAGGCATCTGTGTGATGGTGTAGAAGAAGGGAGGAAAGAAGCCAGGAAGAATGTGGGGTAGGTGATGGGACTCCACTAAGGACTATAGGACTTTGCTTAAGGGTTTGAGCAAAAAGGTTACTCTTCTGAAAAGATGGATGACTTCCACTGTGGACCGTTGGGAGGATAGATTTCAGGAAAGGAAGAGAAAGAAGAAAGCATGGATCGCCTCTGCTTAGGAGAGACAGTATGGGCTTGGCAGGCAGGGATAGCTTGATACAGTCTGCAACAAGACCATAGATTTTCCAATACAGGGATCTGGATTTTCAATAAGGGCAGAAGTGCTTTGTGGTTCAGACAATTTGGGAGACATTTCTGAACTGGCCTCATCACAGGAGGGTGCTGGCAGAATGAGATCATGGTGCAGAATATGAGGCACACACAGAGAGGGAGGGGCAGGAAGATGCCTAAAGAACCAGAAAGCTTGGGTTGGCGCCAGCTTGGCCTCTCTTGGCTTTCTTTCTATATAGTAACAGGGTTAGAATATTGGCCTCCTAGGAGATTGGTAGAGAGTAAGGGATACAAGATTGTGGATAAAATGTTTGGTAACTGTACTGTGAGGCTGGACTTACAGGAATCATGGCATAGCCATCATTCTGCGGAAAGAACCGCCAGGGAGGGGATCAAGGCTCAGATCTTCTGAGCTTTCCTAACCCTAGACCCTGGAAAGGTGGCCACAGTCCCGCTTCTTGGTTTTAGTTAATGGCATGGAAGTGTGGCAGGGCTGAGACAGCTGCAAGGAGGAACTCCCTCCCAGCAGCCCCAGCAGCCCTCTCCCTCCTTCTTCTCGCCTCTCTCTGGACTAGTTTCCTCCATGACTCACTTTCACAGTTAAGCCTCCTGGAGATGATGCCTAAGCCTCAATTCTAAGCCCAAATCCTATGAGCTTTGGCTTCCAAAACCCAGCAGACATTTTAATCTAGAGGTTATATCCCTTGCTCACAGAGGACCCTAAAGGGCGCAGGGACATCCATCCCCTAAGGCACTGCCCCTCCCCACCTGCTTGTGGCTCTAACTGCATCTACCTTCCAAATGTCCAGACTCAGCAGCCTCAGCTTTTCTTCTCTCACCTGCTTTGCTTCTGTGTTTATTAAGCCTAAACTCTTGTAATTACCTTTTTGATATGCCCTTTACGCATCTCTCCTGGATTTCTGTAATCATGGCTGTCACCCTAGCCCAGAACTTTGATTTCTTATCTGTACTACTTCAGTAACGTTTTAGCTTTCTGCCTCTCATGTCCCTGATCCCTGCAGGACAATGATTGCCACCTCATCAGCTCTGATTATGTTCAGTGTCATGGCAGAACTGAGGGTCCACCTCTGCCTATGGAGCAAGCTGGTTTCTTAGCCCATCAAACAAGATCTTGTCTTTTGTTTATTTGCTTGCTTTTACTTCCATGTCCTTTTGCTTCCGGCTGAGTGGATTACCAGGGAATTATTGGGTAATGAACAAGGCTAATATTTCCCCTTCTGTGTCTCACTGTACAGTGGTCACTAACACCGTTGGGCACTTTAGAGTCACTGATGGTGTCCTGTGTCCTTTCCCTACAGAAGCACACTCCCCCAAAGCCATTAAGAAGCAGGCATTCTGGCTTGTGGCTTAGACAGGAGGAAGCTGGTACTCAGATGGATTTAGGTAATTCAGCCAAAACATAGAGGCAGGTCCTAAAGCCCGGACTACCTGTTCATGGGCTTATGTGTCTTGCTTCAGTGTTTTCTCTATCCCTGGATTCTCCTTCTCAGTTCCATAAGCGAAGTTCTATCTGGCTCTTCCTAATTCCCTTCACACAAACTTCCCACACATGAAGCTGGCTTCCTGGCACAGCGTCTTTCTCACCACTTCTCCACTTTTACTGGAAGAATGGTTGGGTCATCTTTGCTCTGGTGAGTCCCACCCAGGATCCTGAAACGTGCTCAACAGCACAGGAAGGGCATCTTACCGCTAAGTTATTTTCTCAGAGGGGCTGGACCTGGGCCAGAGCCTGACACCAAACATGCAAGCCTGAGTCTCTGCGCTAGGGTTTTGGGGCCTGACCCTAACTTGGCTTCTGTGGGCTGCACCTGATCCCCGAGAGCCCAGTGAGCTTCCTGATCCTCCTCCACTCACAGCCTTCAATTCTGTAGAAACTGACTAGGAACTGACACATAGTCTCAGGTCAGCCCCAGAGGGCCATCTGCTTGCTATTTTGTGCAGAACTGTCTGACAGTGTGGCCCTGTGAGGAACTGTGCTCAGGTCTCCCCACTTCATCAAGAACAGCTCTGGCAGGCTCACCTGGACCCATTCATGTGGTCATACTCCCTCTTGACGCTGACCCTCACTGGCTGGTTGATCCACTCTTGCTGTGGTGGCAAGGGATTGATTTTGTGGGGCTGCCCGTAGTCAGGACTCCCCGAAGCAGTCATGTCTGCCTTGGGGAGATGGGCTGCTGCTCCGTATGCTGAATCAAAGAGGGACTGGTCGTCACTCACCACTGACAGAGCCTCCTGCAAGAAGGGAGAAGAGACAGAAAGTTCAGTGTCAGTCCTCAAGCAGGCCAGCCGCACCCCTACTCTAAGACATCACATGGCACAGGGCTGGCCATTCATGAAGCTGCAATTGTCCATGGTAATAGATTCACAGTGTCGGGGAGGCTTACCTCTTTGTGGGGCAAAAGGAGTCTGAGCAGTGGAATGGAGGATACTAGAAACAGGTACACTTGTTGAGTGTACAGGCTGGGAGCCCCAAAATGAGAGTAGAGACAGGGGGCCGAACACAGTGGTGGAACAGATGGTACCAGTGTTAGTTCTGGCTTCCAGACATAAACAGCAGCACATGTCACTAGCTGTGTGGCATAGTCAAGTTGTTAGGAGAGATGAAAATGAGCATTTATTTCACAAGTTTAATGCCATGGGGAGCCACCAGAGAGCTTGTCTAGAACCAGGCCACACAGGGAATCAGGGAGCCCAGGAACCTCAGCGAGGTCAATTTCAGTGTCCTGATTGGTAAGCATACACAACTCTTTTGCTGACTTGCTAGATGAATTAAAGGAACAATTCTAGTCCGAGTGTTTGGTGAGAATGCACGGTCGTGTGCTCAGGGCTGGTTAGCAGGTGTAATTATGTCGAGCAGATCTTAGTATTGATGGTTCAGCCAAGTAATTCAAGAGGGAGCACAACTCAATTGTGAAGGAAAGATAGAATAATATATAGGAAATAGTTATACCAACATCAAACCAGAGCAATGCTCCAAAAATACTGGCAATGATGCCCATTAGAATTCAAACAAGGGTTCTGTTGAGTTCTTGTTCTATGCTTGATTCTGTACCCTCTCAAATTCATATGTCAAGTCCCTAGCCCTGTGACTTTACTTGGAAATAAGGCCTTAAAGGGTATGGTTAAGTTGAAAGGAGTATGTGAAGGTGGGCTCTAAACCCAACTGGCTTATTATGATAAGAGATTTGGACACACAAAGACCCTGGGGATGGCTGTATAACAAGGATTGACCATGTAAGGGATGAAGGGAAAATGATTATCTGCAAGCAAGAGCAAGAAGCCTTAGAGGAAGCCAGTGCTGCTGGCACTCTGATGTTGGATTTCCAGTTTTCAGAACCCTGAGCAAATAAATTTATGTTGTTTAAGCCACTTATCCTGTGGTGTGTTACTATGGCAACTTTGCCTTTACTTAAGAACTGAATAATAGATGACAAGACCCCTTCAAATCTTGAGGTTTGCCTACTTTCCCTGCATAACTCATATCTCTGCCTAGAATTTGTTTTTGTTTTTAAATTTGTATTTTAAAAATACAAATACTCCTCTTGGTATGTCTGGGTGTTCTTCATTCAGACCTAATGCCTGCTGGGACCCTTCTGCTTTCACCTGATGCCCCTATAACATCAAGGGAAGGCTATGGCTCTAAGGATCATTTGTAGTTCAGTTATTAGATAAACTCTTTATTCAGTTAAGGTTCTGCTCTGGTTTTATGTCCCTAACAAATTTAAACTTTTACCTGGGCACCTAATATATAACTCCAAATTGAAAAATGTGAAGTCTATGGTCTTCCAGAGGGCTGGGCATGAATCTTTGACATTACTTGGGTGCTACCCAAGATTCATCAGTCTCCTTTTGACAATAAAAATCCAGAACAAACCCCGGGTCTGCTGTAGGAAGAGATGACATTTAAGCAGGTCTCTGCTGTGGGAACAGACTATGCTTCTGATTAGTCATTAGGCAGTCTTGAGAGTTCCAGCAAAATCGTAAAATGGCAGAGTCAAAGAGATCTTAGAGACAAAAGCAGACATGGCGGTGCTGTGGTGAAGGGCAGATAATGCCCGTCATCACTGCCACAAAGACAGGGAGGTCAAAAGCAGAAAAGGGCAGGATTGCTGCCTCACCTAGCCTTGCCCTATCCGCCGTGCCATTTGCAACTTCTCACTACAACCTCGGTACAGTTCTAACTGCTTTCACTGGGGTTACTAAATGCAAACCTTGTTGAAAATAGTCTGAATTCCTGGAGATTTTAACATACATAGACACACAGAGGGAGACACATACACAGACATACACACAGAGGCACACACATAGAGACACACACAGCGCTTCAAACACACATAGACAGAGGGAAACACACACGGACTTCACGTATGCACGGGTGCATGCACATACACGCAGGGAGATTGATTCTATTTACAGTCACTAATAGACAAAGGGCTTCCCCCCATAATAGTGTGGAGAACAGCCTCTGTAGATGAATGAGACTAGAAAGAGAGAGAACGAAGTAAAAAGGTGTCTGTCCTGTTTGGCTTTCGGACTGAATCTGAAAATCAGCCTAGTTAGGATAAGTTGTCAATAGCAATACAGTAAAATATTTGGGGAAATGCGGTGCCATACAATCTAATTTAGGGCTCATTTGTAAAAACTACAGTCGGGGTGAACATTCTTGGCAAGTCTTCAAGGAAATAAGACCTCTTTGTAATGCAAGCCTTGGACCATGATATCAGTGCTCTCCCTCTGTTATCTGCAGAGCAGTTTAGAGAGGGCTCCTCGCCGTCACTGTCCATTCTGAAAGAGGGAGAGCACTGATATCAATGATGGAAACAGGAGAGTGGAAGGGTACAAAGAAGGGAACTGGTGCTAGGCCATGGTGGCAGACCCTTATGTCACTGCTGGGGGCTGACAGAAGTCACTATGGATAACGAGATGAGGTACCACAGAGCAGCTGCAGCAGGTGAGAGTCACCGCAGCCAGGGGGCATTTCCACTTTCCCTAGCAGCCGTGTCTCCTGAGCAGATGTTGCTACTTAATGTGTGCTTTAGAAAGCTCTTTATTTGAACATTAAAACTTTAAATGTTTAAACTCAAAACTATTATGCATACTCCAGTCCTTACTTATAGGAATAAGCATCATGCCGAAGTCTAGGCACTTTCCGTGATGAGATGCTGGTAAGCGTCTGTCTTTGGCATAGCAGACCAAATATAAAATGAACATCAATGGGGTAATTCACTGCTGTTCTTGGTTTCTAATGGGTGTGCTTCTCCTGTGAACTTGGAACACTGATGATTTCACTCAAAAAACACAGGTCATTCTGAAAAAAAAAAAGACCTATTGGGTCCATGTTGCTTAAAAATAGCTTCCTTACCCCTGTGTGATACTCAGCTATAAAAATTATTTTTTTCCTCTTTATCATTTATTACAATTTGTTCAATTTGTATCCTGGCTGTGCCCCCCCCTTGTCTTCTTCCAAACCCACCCTCCCTCCCTCTTTTCCTCCCATACCCCTCCCCTAGTCCACTGATAGGAGAGGTCCTCTTCCCCTTCTATCTGACCCTAGCCTATCAGGTCTCATCAGGACTGGTTGCATTGTCTTCCTCAGTGGCCTGGCAAGGCTGCACACACCAGGGGGAGGTGATCAGAGAGCCTGCCACTGAGTTCATGCCAGAGACATCCCTGCTCCCCTTACTAGGGAAACCACTTGGAGACTCAGTCTATGGGTTACATCTGAGCTGGGGTTTTAGGTCCTCTCCATGCATGGTCCTTGGTTGGTGTATCATTCTCTTCAGGGCCCCCAGGGCTCAGTTTTCTTTCTTTCTTTCTTTCTTTCTTTCTTTCTTTCTTTCTTTCTTTCTTTCTT